AATTTTTTCCAATGCGCAAATAGACGAAATTCAGTGAGTTCTCTTATTATTTTCATCTCATTGAGAACTTTTTTTCGTTCCAGACTTTCTTCAAATATAAAAAAGTATCATATTTGTGTTAGGAATTATTCTTCCCAATGCCCTTTTTGTCATTCATAACATTGTGCATGTTTAGAACCACAATGTCGGCAATCTTCCACAAAGTAGTATAACCCACAGAGGCTCAGGAATCCCTCACATGTGTTTACGAGGAAATGAAATTGCTTGGGAACCTTTCTTTCAAGAAAGGTTCCCCTATGTATTGTGTTGTTTTCAAGTTTCCGTTTTATGTACCTCTCTACTTCTTGAAAGTGTTGCCCGAACAGGTCGCATGCTTCCATAAATGAAATTGATTGGGAACCTTTCTTTCAAGAAAGGTTTCCCTATGTATTGTGTTGTTTTCAAGTTTCCGTTTTATGTACCTCTCTACTTCTTGAAAGTGTTGCCCGAACAGGTCGCATGCTTCCATATCTGCTCCAAAATGGCTTCCCTACAGGCATCACGAGCGCCTGGTAAAATTTGCATGGAGTTGTCTTGGTCACTGGTAGATAGAGCAGATGTTATATAGAGGGAAAAAGCCTACCTAGAGCAATGGGAGGTGGAAAAGTTTGCGGGGAAGAATTCTTCCCACGAAAGGGGTAAGCGAAGAACTTTTAGTAAAATCGAATCTTCAAGGAATCCACGGTGCATCCTCATTCGGAACAGAGCCTGAAATTACCTTCAAAACACTGAAAGGTTCATACTTGAGAACCAGTTCGCACTCTCGGGAGGCTCATATTCAAATTTAAATCACCCCCAGTCCTGCCCAAGGGGCGGGGTACAATCCGCCCCGGGACTCTGGAAACATCTGGGCGGGCCTGACCACCCTTCGACTGTGCAACCCGCCTGTTAAGGCCGTTCCACACTTGGCGTGTGACGCGTGCGATTTCGACACGCATGCGGCTTGCGTGTCTACATGCGTCCACATGCGTTCGAATGTAAGGGAACACGCGTGTACATGCTCTCACGCATTTGGGTCATTCCAGATTTAGGTACAAAATTGTCAAAAAGAAACATCCTAAATTTGATGCCAGTTAAGGAGGGGCAATCCATTAAAATATAGATTCTGATTAATAAAAGAAAACCCTATTCAAAACGTAGTGATTGCGATTCCTTTATACTTGTAAAGGCGTGTGGGCATAAATGAACACGCGTGTTCCCTTGCATTCGAACAGCATACAGACGCATGCCGCATGCGTTTCGAAATCGCACGCGTCGCACGCTAAGTGCGCAATGGCCTTAAGACTCCGTGGGATTGTCCCACTCTGTCTGGGTCGAATCCCGAAGAGGGAGGACCTCCGTCGGGGCACGCAGCACGTGATAAACGGCTTAACGAACCTCGATGGTCACGACCGAATCCAGGTGAAGCATCCCCGAATTTCACTGACGTCGTTTTCCCAGCGAAAACTTGATCTCGTCTTTCTAAAGGGCAGTTTTTATTCGTCTTTCGCCCAGCGATGATTGAGNATCATATTTGTGTTAGGAATTATTCTTCCCAATGCCCTTTTTGTCATTCATAACATTGTGCATGTTTAGAACCACAATGTCGGCAATCTTCCACAAAGTAGTATAACCCACAGAGGCTCAGGAATCCCTCACATGTGTTTACGAGGAAATGAAATTGCTTGGGAACCTTTCTTTCAAGAAAGGTTCCCCTATGTATTGTGTTGTTTTCAAGTTTCCGTTTTATGTACCTCTCTACTTCTTGAAAGTGTTGCCCGAACAGGTCGCATGCTTCCATACCTGCTCCAAAATGGCTTCCCTACAGGCATCACGAGCGCCTGGTAAAATTTGCATGGAGTTGTCTTGGTCACTGGTAGATAGAGCGGATGTTATATAGAGGGAAAAAGCCTACCTAGAGCAATGGGAGGTGGAAAAGTTTGCGGGGAAGAATTCTTCCCACGAAAGGGGTAAGCGAAGAACTTTTAGCAAAATCGAATCTTCAAGGAATCCACGGAGCATCCTCATTCGGAACAGAGCCTGAAATTACCTTCAAAACACTGAAAGGTTCATACTTGAGAACCAGTTCGCACTCTCGGGAGGCTCATATTCAAATTTAAATCACCCCCAGTCCTGCCCATGGGGCGGGGGACAATCCGCCCCGGGACTCTGGAAACATCTGGGCGGGCCTGACCACCCTTCGACTGTGCAACCCGCCTGTTAAGCTAAGTTAAGGCCGTTCCACACTTGGCGTGTGACGCGTGCGATTTCGACACGCATGCGGCTTGCGTGTCTGCATGCGTCCACATGCGTTCGAATGTAAGGGAACACGCGTGTACATGCTCTCACGCATTTGGGTCATTCCAGATTTAGGTACAAAATTAAGTTTTTCTTTGTAGGATTTAAACTACGGTCAATTCCTCCCCGTTAGGTAATTTTATATCTAAGACTAATTATTTTCTTTTGGGTTAAGTTTTGCATCACTAACGCTAAGGAAATATGAACATTTCCCGTGTGGGCATAAATGAACACGCGTGTTCCCTTGCATTCGAACAGCATACAGACGCATGCCGCATGCGTTTCGAAATCGCACGCGTCGCACGCTAAGTGCGCAATGGCCTTAAGACTCCGTGGGATTGTCCCACTCTGTCTGGGTCGAATCCCGAAGAGGGAGGACCTCCGTCGGGGCACGCAGCACGTGATAAACGGCTTAACGAACCTCGATGGTCACGACCGAATCCAGGTGAAGCATCCCCGAATTTCACTGACGTCGTTTTCCCAGCGAAAACTTGATCTCGTCTTTCTAAAGGGCAGTTTTTATTCGTCTTTCGCCCAGCGATGATTGAGAAGTAACCCGGAACAAGGTCAAGGTCATGGGTAAAAAAAAAAAAACTACTTACGCAACCAACGATCATCTTTGTTGAGCCTCATTTCATTCATCACGGGCCATATGCAATCGCTACTTTTGTAGGAGATTATTTTAAGGAAACCTGAGGGCTTTAATAGGGTTAGGGCCACGCGAGCCAACGGTCGGACACTACCGATCCCGACTCAGGATAGCTACTTAACTCTGATTAGTGATAATCGCTCCCATTGCAATCAATTTCGAAAAGCAAGCTTCCAGAGATGACACTGGAGGAGAGATTTGAAAGTAAACAAACAATCTGTTGAGGGTTCTTACAGGTTATGGGAGTATGAGGGCTACGTCCTCCGAATGCATATTTATCTCATCACCGGGCTCATATTATTTTTATCAAAACGCATACGATTGAAGAATTCAAAGGGAAAGGAAGCATTGAGAAAACCATTTCCAAGGGTTATACTTCGTTCAGACTCACGTCCGACGCTCGTCGTAGAGAAGTCACGGCACGATCCACATTTTTTTTTATCCATCAAAAAAAGCTATTTCTCTTAAATACTACTTTTTCATCTGCGAGTTTTTCTCAACAATATAAATCATGCATAAAAACCACGTGGGGAGAGAGCGGTAATCCCAGGGAAAGCGTATATTTTGAATGATTCAAGTTTTCGCGAAACGATCGTACATGCAAGGAAACTCCCGCAAAAATCACTTTCGCAACCCAAGGAAACATGCAATAATTCCTCATCAGTCCCAGTCCGCTTGGGACCACAATTTTCTCATCGTGCCATTGAATCCCCCCTCATCGCAACGAATTACCAAAATATTAATTTAAAATCGGGTCAGACACCGACCTCACATTTTTGATTAAATGGGAATCAGCGATGAAACGAAGATCCCAATGGAAAAAGAAAAATTAAACGAAACCTCGGGTCTTCGCACGAACCTCGGATACGAAAAGGGCCAAGGGACACTCGCTGGTCCACCTGGACCAAGTCAATTGACCAAAGAACTTCAAGACAGCAGTTGCGATTCCGAAGAACGCCTCAAAACAATGTGAAGCACTCACCCGCTTTCCTTAATATCAGAAGAAATCAAGAATAATAAGCCCGTACATTTACGATGAATCGTTTCTGAAATAATAAAAAACAGCCACTCATGAATGCTGGAGTCAACTAACATCGAGAGGGTGTATCCTCAAATGTCTTTGCATTTTCACAGATTTCGCAAATGTCTTTGCATTTTCACAGATTTGCCCAGCGGATACTCCAGCGCTTTAGTTTTTGAAGGAATACGGCTGTAGAACTATTTCATATCGTCATGATCAATAAGTTTTCATCAGAAAAAGATACGAATTACTTACATTTTCCCAAGTGCAAAGCTACACTGATTCCCAAGTCTTTTCAGCATTTACTCTAATAAAAAAGAGCATATTCTGCCAAACTTCAGAATGAGGAAACAAGGAGGAACGATAGCCTTCCCGCAATTTCGAACAAGGTGAGGGAGTTTAAGGAATAATTCTTCGATCAATAATGAGTCATTGATGCACACCAGGGTGAATCATCATTGAAATCACCGTACAGCATGCGTTCAATCATGATTCAACCGGTCGTCTGCGTCAAAAACAACGATGCCTGCAGAGTATGAGCGAGAGGATTGATTTTCTCAGAGCCTTTTATTGCAGTCTATCGTGTTTGGTGCAGGATGAAACAAACACAGCACAGGGCTGAATGCTTCATTGGAACCAAATCAAAACCATCCATTCCACATGACTGACTCAATGACAAGTGTCGCACCTAAGTAGGACTCACGCTGCCTCTTCGAGTGCCGTATCAAAAAAAACATTCTTTCTAAATTTGCACGGGGAAATGCAAAGCTTCTCCACTCCCAGAGAAAAGACAACAACTTTACAGGGATAAAGAAAGAGACAACAATTTCTCCTGGACGTGCAACGAAGCAGTCCCACTGGTCTCACGCGAGATGTTCCCCACAGAAACGAATCACCCCCAACAAACACACCCTGAAGCAAAAAAAAACTGTATTGTCACTTTCTTCTCGTGTGCCACCTCTCAATCACAGTTAAGCAACAAGTGCAGTAGGAAAAATACCGAACCGCTCCTCAGACGTCGACCGACTGGTCTTCGTCGTCGAACAGGAACGGGATCTTGGACGACGCGTCTGGCGACTCCTCCGGGTTCAGGATCCCCCCGAGGAACGGGATGTACCGCTGCTCTTCCTCTGGGGGGCCGAGGGGCTTCAGCTGCGCTTCGTCCTCGCCGGTCACGGTCGTCAGGAAACTGTGCAGGGGGAATGCGGACTCTTGGGCTTCTTGCTCTCCGGCGTCGTCGTCGCTTTTTTCGTCGTCTTCGACTTCGTCGTACCATCCGACGAGGATCTTCTTCGGTTGTTCCTCCAGGCAGAAGCGTTTCGGGGCGGGGACGTAGTTTTCCTTGCCGTCGGGATACTCCTCGTCGTCGTCGGCGAACAGAGCTGCCACCACCTTCACGTTACTCTTTTGGTCACCAACGTCGTCTTGGTAGGCTTGAGGCTGCGGAGGAGGCTCTTCCCCGTCATCGCTCTCGCCCGAATCGGATGGGGCTTCGTACATCTCGACCAGGGTGTCCGAATGCCAGGCCAGACCTTTGTTCTCTTGAGTGACCAAATCTGGAATTCGACCCTCGTCTTCCATTTCGTCGGAACGGTCGTGAGACATTTCCATGGGCGTGTAGCACTCTCTATCCGAGTCATCCGAATCGTCGTGATGGGCATTTCTGTTGTCCACCATTTCGACTAGGGGGCCGTCAGGAGTCTTTGGCGGGAGGCGGGGAAGCGTGTCGATCTCCTTCAGGGTCTCTTGGATTGCGTTCGGCAGGTACTTTCTCAGGAAGTTGCACACTGCCTTCAGAGTTCGCTTGAGGGAGGCAATGTCGGTGAACATGAGGAAGATCCGGGTGGGATTCTCCTTGCGACGAACTTCGCAGATGAAGCACGTGCGCGGGAGCTCCGGTTTCACCTTGTACGTGACGTGGACCATCTGGGAACAGATCCTTTCTTCCCTGTCGATGAACGGCATGCCCTCGGGGAACTCGAATTGGGTGTTGAATCGCTTCCGCCGCTCCCAGGTCGAGTAGAACGCCTGGCAGTAGAAGACCTTCAGCACGTTGTCTGCCTTCCCCTCGCGAGCCTCTTTTGGGATCAGCTTCGTATCGAAGTCCACTTTCAGCTCCTTCATGAGATTCTCGTAGTTGACGGCGTAACAGTTGTCGGCGTCGGAGTTAACGTCTCGATTCTCCTTCTCGTCCGACTCGCATGGGTCACTGGTCTCCCCGTTTTCTACCTCAACTGGCTCCTCCCCTGGTACTGGAGGCTCTTTCCCATCGTCCTCCGTCTCTTTCGCTTTCTTCTTTTCTCCGTTGAGCTGGGGGGGTTGGGGCACGTCGGCGACATCCACTCCATTTCGATTCTCCTTCTCCTCCGACTCGCAAGGCTTGCTCGTCGTCCCGTTTTCTACTTCGACTGGTTCGTCTTCCCCTGGAACAGGAGGTTCTTTCCCTTCCTCGCCCTTCTCTTTCACCTTTCTCTTTCCTCCTTCAAACCGGTGTGGAATGGCCATCTCAGTGACGTCCATTACATCGAATAGTAAGGCCCTTTTAAACACTTCTTCCACTAATTTGGCAACAGTTTCACACCAGTAGTCCTGATTCTTTTGTTCGAGTTCCCTGAGGGCGAGGTCCTCTTGGGTCTCAGCCGTCGGGATGCGCTTCACCTTCTTCAGTCCTCTATAGGGGTTGTTTTCTTGCGGGTGGGCAACGCAGAATTTCCCCATGGGAATGGAGATGGTCGTGTGGTAGGTCTTGTCCTGTTCCAGGATTCGACGCGGGACCCCTTTCTTCAGGATCACTGCAGCAGCCACCGTGGATCCAAACAGCATGTCCAGCAAAGGATAGACCTTATTGTGAAGCTTTTTGTTGGGGATCTTTGCACCGGGCTCTTTGGACGAAAATATGGCACAGATGTCCCGATACTGCTGACACTTGGTTATTAGATTGGAGAGGCCCTTGTGCGTGAACACACGTGCTTGGTTGAAATTCAGTTCGAACGGATCCTGCACGCACATGGTAGCCTCCACAGGGAGAGGAGAGATCTCTCCCGAGAGATAGCGTTCTGTGTATCGCTCCAGGCCCGGTGGGAGTTCGGGGAAGTTGAAGAATGCACCCACAGGAATGGACCTGCCCAGCAAGGGGCAGATAACCTGTGATGAGAAGTCGAAGTTTGCGTAGAATTCAAAAAAGTCGTACAGAAGTTCTTCAAAGGCCAAATCCTCTTTCACAGGTGGGATACAGTCACCTTCCTCGGGGAAGCTGCAATCCCAGCCATCGATCAATGTCGGAGGATAGCCCATCTCCTTATACTTAGTCTGTAAGAATTCCACTGTTGGTAGAAGGGGCTCAGGAAGTTGTTGCAGGAAGAAGATGATGAGCCAGGTCCAGGTGAAGTTATTGAGCTGAACTCCCTGCCGCTTTCCAGTGATGTCGTGCCGCTTTGCCCACCACCGCAGGACAATGATGAAATATCGGATTCGGTCATCCACGCCCATCAGTAGCCGCAGTAGGTTCGAATTGCGAAGGGAGATGGAGTTGCGGAACGAGAGATCACAGTTGATGGCAAGCTTTGCACAACGAAACTTGAGGATGGGGATGCGTGCCTTGAGGATGGGCACGACATCGACGAGGCCTGGGATTTTCCTGATAATGCCAAAAGCAATCTTCACTTGTTCAGCCTGGTTTGGGATGTAGTACATGTCATGAACCATCTGCAGCTGGTCGATGGTAGGGATGGGCATTGGAGCTCCTGGGGGAGGGAAACCTGGTCCAAGAAACAAGAGAGACCCCTAGTTACTCAATGTGTATGGCAACAGGAATGGCGACATGGGTGCTGTGAAGCAATACTTGATATTGACAACATATATGAGCATATAAACCACAAAACCAAGAAACAGGAAAAAACTACATGGTGTTAATAAAAGCTAAACTCTTTCTGACTTCTGAGATTTTATGGAAAAAAAAACAGCACAAATATGCTCAATTCATCACTGACAATGATTATCATTGGATTTCCATAGTGATGTCAGAACACCTTAAAATCAAACTTTTCTCTTCTATAAAAAAAATTTAGCTTCTTCATTCATTGCTGAAAAGATCTGTGTGGATGTTCATTCCTGCTAATTAAAAAAAAACTATTTCTCTAGATTGCTGTCAAACGCTTTGAGTAAATACTGAATGTAAAATGTCTATGCAATGAATGATTTGAATTTGGAAAATCTCCACAACAGAAACTACATAGCAAAAGGTTTAGCATATTTTTCCATAGACACCCCATATTCTATAAACATAAAAATGACTTGAGGAATATGTGACAATTTTTCACAAAAATCCAGTGACCAACCAAAGAATAACCTCTACTTAAAATAGGTTCCCACTCAAAGGATATAAAACAGTGATGAAGAAACTGGAAGTCAATGGGATTTGACCCAATTGAAACTGGAGAGAGGCCTCCTTTACCAAAATGTATTATATCGACCAGTCACCCGAAACTTCACTCACCAAAGTCGACATAGATGTCAAGATCACAGCCACGAAAGCCAAGACCATTCACCGTAGAACCAAAAGGATAGACGGTGGCTTTTGGGTAGCGGGTACGAAACGCTTTCTGCAAGTCCCAGCAAAAGCGATTCCTCTCTCCCACATCTTCGTCTGTGAGCTCAACATTCCGAACAAATGTCTGCATCTGCTCTAGTGGAGTCATCACCTTCTTCACCATGCGAAGCACAAAGCTTTCATCGATGGTATTACGCTGAGCTGCATCCTCTGAAAAACAACAAAAATTAATAATTGGAAATTAATACGTTTTTTAAAGCAGCATATAAAATCACTGGGAACATGTCCATGGTACCAGAAGACATCTAGGTGGGAATAAGATATCTTCACTCATTTTCTGGCATGGCAGCATGGCTTGAATCACAACTGAAGCAATTTCAATGATTCCTTCACATGGTATATAGTATATTGATACTTTTATGTCTCCTCAGAAATCTTTGTAAACTTTTTCTAAGTTTCAGTATATTTTGAATGAGTGTTCTTTGCAAAAAAAAACAGGCAGCTATGTACAATTATCCTATTAAAAATGGTGTTTGGAGGGATGTGCAATTACACTTAAATGCAACTCAAGGTAAAAGATGTGCCACTCACCAATCTGACGTACTCTCCTCCTAGAAACCTTGAGGGGGAAACCATTGTAGCAGTGCCTCATCTTGATGACTTCCTCTGAAATACGTCTGTGCAAGAAAGGATGTAACAAATGAAACAGTGACTTGGTGCTAAAAATTTAAAACAAGACCAGTATAGATCATTTAGGTAACATACCGGTCTGTGAATTCAAAAAAGTAGAATCCACCAGTCTCAGCATTCCGAATTGGAGTGATGTTCTGGATATCTCCATATTTAGAAAAGTAGTTGAAGACCTCCATGTCCTTGATACCAATTGGGAAACCTGAAAAACAACAGCATGTCAGACTTCAAGGGGAAAGGAACTGCGAAATTGAAGGAAGAGAGTGGAAGGGTGTTAAGTGAATGCAAGACCACCATGATGACATCACCTTCAATGGGTTCTCTTCCCTGCTCCCAACAATCATCACAAGTGAAAATGCATATTTATACAACTTACCAGAGACATAGATGCTTCGTTCGGCAATCTCAGGAGGGACATCAGCTCGATACACATTTCGTTGATGCTTCCTGCTGAGCAGGTGCCAAGCCCACATCTCCAGGGCATCACAGTCAACTCCACAAGGCTCACAATGGTACCTCATTTTTGTTCAGAAATTTACTGTTTTTTCTGTTGATAAAAATACATATACATCACAAAATGGGTGGATACACAAGGCTTCCCACATGGGATAGAGGGACTTACTGCAATGGGCCTGTACAACCTTCTTGAAATACTTTGGCTCAATAAATCCTTTACTGTTGCCTGGACTGAGAATCACGTTGTTGGGTGAACGGAAGAACTTGATCCCATCTATGAAAAAATAAAGAACAATTTTTACATTTTATTTTTAAAATTAAGTGGTTTCTATCCAGACAGCCCTCAACTCAGGACTTGACTTGCCAGCAATGGCTTTGTCAATATCAATATAAATGAAGAGTTGGCAAGATGATCTCATGCCACTGATGACCCCATCTTGACCTGGTTCACCTGGGGTAAAGTGAATGTGGGTTCGGTTCATACGACTCAAGCCCTTCTCTTTGATGCTGGACCAATTCTTCCCATATGTCCCATGTATAACCAATGGAGCTTCCTCACTATTGTGAATCTCTTCAAGTTCCAAGTCCTCCACCTGAGATCAAACACACTCATCTACGTATACCAGACTAGGAATTCCATAGTTTAAGCTTTGCAAGAGACTTATAACCTGATAAGAATGTCCTTGATTGGCTTTGATCTGGAGTTCTCCTGTCTGAGGACAGGGACGAAGGGCAAAACGCTGCTTGTCGTTGAAATTCACCACTTGTTGAATATCCTCAATTGAATACTTTGCAAAATTTTTTTGCTTCAAAATGTCTTTCACATACAGATATCCACCAGGAAGAACAGAGAAGCCTTGCTTAGGAGCACCATGCCTGAGCAGCCATGAAAGAGCTTTGCTCAGCTGTTTGTCAGCATCTCCAGGCATCAATTGGTCTCTTTTGTGTCAGTTTTTCCTAATCTAAGGAGAAATCAACACAGACACACATCAGCATAGCTCATTCCCTCTTTACCACCTTCTCACCCCAACCTGATTCCATATCAAGGTTGTTACAATTGCTGGGTTACAATGTACAATTGTAACCCAGCAGTTACTTAGGATTGGCATTAAAAACATGGAGCACTTTTGATATATGAGTAAAATCTATGAGTATGTTCCAGTGACATTTTTGTGATGCATGAATACATTCTATAAGGAAAATTTGCTTGCTTGCATTTGATGAATGTTGCAGCCATCAAGCAACTTGCATTATATCCATTGAATATTTAATTTAAGGAGAATGCACAGCTCTAAGACCTTGTAGATTAGACAGCTTGACATTATGGAAGAATGTATGCACTCACTCCAACATTTATATCCAGTCTTAACCTTGATATGGAAGGAAGGTGAGAAGGTGGATTTGAGTGAAACAGCCACACCAGGGCTGCAGGCAACTGCACCCTCTAATAGCTAACAATACTGTACCTCATTAAAAGATATTAGGCCTCATGAAATTCAAAATAGGAACAAAAAAGGTGAAAGCCCCATAGAAGATATGAACCATGGAGTATTTGAATTATGACCCCTTCTGCCTCTGATTCCCTAGAAGTAATTAAAAATATTCCTCCCACTACTGAAAGCAAACATTAAATTGTGCAGCATACTGCCCATCTGATGACAGCCTAAAAATCATCAATCTTTTAAATGCAAAGCACATAAAATCCTTTCACATCAGAAAGAGTACAACCACAAGGAAAAAATAAATTCAGGCAAAATACAATCAGTCAATGGCAACACAAATAGAACAGTGCTCACAAAATGTTATGCAAGGTGATCAAGAAAAGAAACACGGCTGGCTAGTTACAACGATGGGGAATATAAGCCCACACAACCAGAAGTGAGGAAGAGGGCACACAGAGAAGCATTCCTTTCTTTCTGATCAGAAGCTTCCCTGTCTGGTGTGTAGGCAACCCTCATTCCTTTTCTTGTCCCTTCTCATATCTTAGTTTCTGAATTTTAGTTTTGTTTCAAGCAAATGTCAATGATCTTTCCTTTAAAATAAGAGAAAAATGTGGGAATCACTGTTTCCCAACATAAAGCTACTCAAAATTGGGATATTAGGAGTGACCAAGTAACCAGAAATACTGTAGAAAGCCTTCCAACATGAACCATTCCCATGGGAAGCAGCATCACCTCATATTTTGTTGCAAACAGATCTTTAATAAATATGATTATGGTGGGATCATGAGCACACAATACAATACAAACCTGGGAGTATTAGTAAGGCAAGGAAGCATCAATTCCAAACACAAAATGGAAGAAATTGTATGACTAGAAAGACAGGGTATATGATGGATAGAAGCTGCTCAGAAATGGACGTTGATGTCCAGGAGTGAGTCAGAGCCTTCAACTCAATGAAAGCAGAGACCCTGAAAAGAATGTCAGTTTCAATCAACATCACTGTTACCATCTTCTTCTTCCCCATCATTGGCTTTGATCAATTTCCATTCCTCAGCAGCTTTCAGTGACATTTCAGCATATTCCCTGATTTTTGGGTTTCCCACATCACTCTGTGACAGAGCCATGAGGAGCTCCATGATGCTGGTCTCAATTAGCTTCTCAGCAATGCTTTTTGACTTTGTCATCATGTTGTGAACAATACAGACTCCTCTGTGTTGAACATCTGGGTCTGGATTGGCAACAAGGAATTGCAAAATATTAAGCCACTGATCACTATCAAATATCTTCTGACAGCACTTTTTGCTGACTGAAGTGAGTATCGCCAGAGCCCCAGCTGCCGCTTTCCCTGTCTCCAGCTCCTCTTCATCCTGTTCCCCAGACAACAGTAGCAGATACTTCACTCTATCATTTTTGCCTTCCATGTACTTTAACACTTCAGAACAGGAGCAAAGATTTGTGATGCACTGGGTTGCAGCTTTCTTCAACATCAAATGGTCCTCATACATGTAATGCTCAATCTTAGAAAAGCCTCCTTCCTTCATTATCCGTTTTTGAACAGTCAGGTTCATTCCAGCCAGATTTGTTAGGCACATCAAAGCTTCAAAATTCTCCAGGGCTTTGCAATCAGGATGGAGGAGTTGTAGGAGCGGTCTCACAACTTCACATGCCCTCTGCCCAGGGAAGGCAACCTCAGGGTTAATGGTGATTCCAATTCTGGCCAATGCCTGTGCAGCTTGCTTTTTCCCCTTATCAGTCCCATCAAGAGCCATTGGGATGAGGACCTTGGCACCTCCTTGCTGGACAACTAGACCTCGCAGGTCCTGATGTTCGCAAAGGGCATTGAAGACACGGCAGATCAGTTCCTTGCAATTTTTGCTCTCAGTCTTGCTCAAGCTTACTAGAGCTACTGTAACACCTGCCTGCCCTAAGACCCTGACTCGCTTGGTCACAAAGTCAGGATCATCCAGTTCGTGCTCCTCTGGGATGTGCTGTTTGGCAAACTTAGCAAGTTCAATCATTTCAGGAATAATTTCTTGCTTGTCATAACTGTTAGTGAGGTTGACAAGAGTTGTAATACAGCCATAGACAACAGATTGATCTCCTGTCTTGGCCAACTCAATCATGGCATTAATGGCTGGTTTGTCTTCAATTAGCTTCTCCTTTACCTCTGCATCCAAGGTGAGATATGACAGTCCTTCAACAGCCCATTTTCTCATGTCTCTGTCCTTGGCTGGGTGTATGAGGAAACGGCGACAAGCTTCTGCCAATTTCAGTGTTGAACCTTCAGCAAATGGCCGATAGCTGGCATCAGTACCACCTGAAGCACCAAGTTTGCAAAGTCCAACCAAAGCTCTCACTTTGATGTGATCATCTTTGGATTGATAGAGACTTTTCAATATGTTCGTTCCCTGTGAGACGATGGACTTGGCTTTGTCCTTTTTGGATGCAGCAGCAATGAGAGCTTCAGCACTAACCTTTTGCTGAATAGTATCACCTGAATTAGCCATCACTAGAAGCATCTCCAGGAAACCTTCTTTTGCAATAATGGAATTTCCAACATCAAGGGGACCACGTAGGAGAGTGGTCAAGGATGAGGCAACCCTCACCTTGTCCTCAATTTCCATGCCAAGCAATTTATCTTTGACAAAGTCTTCTACTTTATTGATGAAATCTTGTTTGGCTAGGTCATGCCACATATTGTCATATACTTTGCCAAGGCACACAGCAGCAAGGGTTTTGGTTGACTCAGTGATCTTCATGTTGGACTCATAAGGCAATTCAGGGAGCTCAGCAGAAACCTCCATCATTCGTGTCACGCCTCCAGCCTTGACAAACTTCTCAGCCCATTGCAAGGCTTGATAATCAACATTTCTAGTGATTATTTCTAGGATAGCATCCCTGCCTATCCCGGATATGACTCTGCTTGTCACAGAGCAGAGAAGTACTGACATGATTGTATCAATTTCTAGTGCATTCTCCTTCAAAAGTTTTTCTTTTTCTTCCTTGGAAGCTTCCAGACCCCCTAGAGTCTTCAAAATTGTCTGGATACAATATTCAACAGCATTAATATACTGCTCATCTTGACTAAGAAATCTATCTGAAAACCAAGGCATTCCAATTTTCTTGACAATGATCTTGGTTCTCTCAACATTGCCTTTGCATAACTCTCCAATGAGTCGTATGCCAGTGAGTTGAATCTCAGAAGTCTTATTCACACTCAATAACTCCATGAGCTTCTCAATCAAGTCCCTCTCCATCATCAAGGCACTAGCCGCTCTCTCACGTGCAAGAACCAACAAGTTATTCAAGGCCTTGTTACATTTTTCAAGATCGGAATCCTTGTCAAAGGCACACTGAAACATCTGCGAAACCTTGTTTGACACCTGCGACATCATCTTTACCTTTTCCTGAAGGGCTTCATAGAGCCGTCTCAGGACTGGCTCTAGAGCCTTGTTTTGTGGCTCCAGTTCCTGTACTTCTTTAGCATCTTTGTATGCCTCATCTATCCTCTCCAACTGCTCCAGAGCCAGGGCTCTTCGGAAAAGGGCTTTGGGATCATGAGGTACCAATGCCAGAGACTCATTGCAATCCTCTAGAACCTTTGAATATTGCTCTTGCTTCAGATATGTAGCTGCCCGATTTTTCAGGAGGACAGCTCGTTCCACCTTTTCATTGGCTTGCTTCAGGGCGTCAGTATAGCATTGAATAGCACCAGCAAAGTCTCCTTCCTTATATAGGGTATTCCCTAATTCTTTTAAACTCTCCACACAGTTATCAACTTCAGATACATTCTCAGGCATGATTGCTAATACAAATAACAATAACAGCAATAATGATAAATTCACCTGAAAATGAAAGAAAAAAGGCACTCATGAGATTAAACTGTTTCTGTAAACTCAATTGTTACCAATTGTTGCTAAAATATTATTGTCAATTGCCAGAACTTAGCATGAGGGATACAACTGCACCCAAGCAAGAAATTATTTCTATCATTGGGCCGATGATAGAAATAATTTCTTCTAACACGTCTTGCCTTTGACAGTCTACTGCCTGCATGAGGATTAAGGTTATAGACTATACCAACCCTTTGCTAAGCAGGATACCAATGGTAGCCCCATCACATACTACCTAACGGGTAAAATATACTACACTGTTTACTGAGATCTAAGAGCTCAGAGTCTTGAGTGTTTTTCACCAAAAACCCAGTTCATTGAGTTAGTACCACCAGTTGGAATGATCCAAAAGTAACTTCAAAAGGCTTAATTGAGATAGTCTCAGTTCCTCCCATGATTGATGAAAATGGATGATTCTCCCATTTGATGAAAATCCCCATTTGATGAAAATGGATGATTTTCATCAAATTAATTGGCATAAAAAATTACTTTTTGCCTGAATTTTTCCAGATGCTCTATATTTTTGGAAAGGTAGATGGTATTCAATCTCTTACTAAGTCAATTAATACTAATAATATTTTATTCCTCCTGATCAAGCAAGTGACTGAAAATTGAAAATATTTTGGTCTCTGAAAACTACTCACAAATCTCTTAAGGGACATTACACCACAAGTGTGCCAAAACTTGTAAGGTTCTCAGCCCCCTTGAAATTCAATTGAAACTGGCCAAGAGGAGGGCCACATTGAGCATAGAGTAAAACAGCATTCAACAAACACCTAACTCTACAACAGAAACTGATCCAACCCAAAGATGCTACCTTCCTTGCTTTTTGTCAAAGTTCAAGGAGTTCATGGACCTCACTCCGAGGGGTGTTGGGATAAATTCACGCCATTATGATGGAAACCAGAGTACTCTAATAACCAAAAAACCCAGTCAAACTGACATTTCCTAAAACTTACAATGCATACTACATGTTGGCTGTCATAGGCACACAGAAGCCCCAGGATGAAAAGGCAAGCCCCAGTGCATGAGGCTGAATGCTAGGTATCTCATGTAAATGTAAGAAGTCACTAAAGTGGAAATGCCAGTTGACCTGCTACTAAGTTGTCAAGATCTTAATAGCAGGGGTATGAACACATCCAGAAACCACTGTACATCATAGCATCATGAGCTCAATCAATCTAACATTTTACATCAATGTTAAGGCTAAGACTTGATGATCTCCAGAGGGGATCCCCCATCATGTAAGACAATGCTGCATCACAGGCATTTGATTGTGGTTTTCCAGAGGGCACGTGGGGATGAGTTAAGGAGTGAAGCAATGAAAAGGAAGCCTTCACTATTATTTTTCTTTCCCCTCTAGCCTTGAATGTACGACCTCATTGATGTTTACAGAGGTTTGGCATTATATTGCTTTTAAAAAGGTCCATCCATTCCACCTCAACCTAAAATCAACCTGGTCACATCCCCCACCAGCAGTTCTACCTATTGTTATTCCCAACAGTCAGTCTCTGAATGCCTAGTTCCCTGATGGCCAATATTGGACCTGACAAATTGTCCAATCATCCAACACACCAACTGTACAGTTTTGTACAGAAAAAGACAACTCTTCCTCAGACCACAGTTGATTGGTATGGTCCTCATCAGACAATGTCAGAAATTAGTCTGAGACCAAGGTAACCATTTAGGTTTAAAGTAAGAAATTAGAAAATGTCAGTTTGAACATAGGCATTTCCAAGTCAACTATTGGTTTTACTATATCTCCTACCTTCTACAGTGTTTTTCACTTCAGTTAGACAATTTTTCACTTGACTAAGACACCGATACAAGGGGTATTCAGAGAGGAGGCAAGGGCACTGGTGCCCCTGGTGACTAGCGACATCTTTCTTTCCTTTGAATATTTAGACTTTTTCGTATGAATCAAACTATGTACTGGAAATGACGAACCACATGCATAGCCATGTTGTCAACAGGAGACCTTCCTTTCAGTCTATTTAAATAAAAAGGCTCTAAGTTTTCAATTTCCCATTGGCTCAACGATGTAGAAACACTGGATCGGACTTCGATGGACAATCCCAGATCCAAGTTAGATAGGCCTAATCTAGCCTATGTGAGTTCTGTGTGGGGAATGATACTTCAGAACCCAGGAAAGATGCCCAAAACTTCATCTGTTTTATTGAAATATTAGGAGACACTTTGTAAGGTACCTTGACTGGGGCAGGTGGACACCATGGCTACCATAGCCAGGGGCAAATAATTGATTTTCTCAGCAGGAAATTAATCATCATCGTTGTTGCCAATGTCATCATGAAGACTGCACTTGAGTATGGAACTCCTAGTTTCTGCGTCAATCAGCTACATCACCCTCACCATGCACCGTTGTCGAAGTCAAGTGAAAAAATGTCTAACTCAAGTGAAAAACACTGTATTAGTGCCATGTGCAAGACATCTCAATTCCAGGAATTCCTTTTTCTATGCAAGACTGTACAAAGATACAATTCAACATGTCAGGACTTTTAGCTTTGGCTCCTACATTACTGCTTACATGATGCCAAGTTACCTTGATATGCCAGGACAAAAAATGATAATTTACTTCAACTCCTCCTGTTTCTCTTTTCATCAACATCCAAGTGCTTACCAGTATACTAACCTGGCAATGTAATAGCAGGGTCCCCTCCATGTACGATTTTCCAGATGGGTATATAACAAGAAAAAAACAGGCTTTTTCAGTCTGGTGGACACCTGCTTTACATTGAATCAGTTACATGGACATTGAGCTAACTCATAGGCTAGTAGCATTTAAAAATGTGAACACCATGGAATTCCCCCCTATTATGGATGGACTGATGGTGAGTGTCAGAGTGGCCCTGGAAGGGGGTGGATCAGAGGAGGCAAAGTTTGCGGACATCTGAGGACAGATAGCAAGGCAAGACAGTTCCATGGTTAAATGACAACTTTCTTTGCTAATTTGGTTGAGAACAGATGACCTCTATATTGCTTTATGGGCCATGGGAACACGTTCACATAGATTAAATGTTCTTTGAAGCTGCATTATTGTTCTATAAGGTTCATGCCTAAGGAAAGACAACAATACTGTACTCTACCGCCAGTCACTTATTTAGCTAGGACATCGAAACAACAGGTGTTACTCAATTGGATGACATGTTAAACTGTTCAGAAGGGATCCTGCTTGTCGTAGAGGTTCAATATGGGGCAGCTCATGCATGTATAAACAACTGCAGGCAGAATAAGAGCTGAGAAAATCAATTATTTGCCCCTGGCTATGGTAGCCATGGTGTCCACCTGCCCCAGTCAAGGTACCTTACAAAGTGTCCACCTATACTGGCAGATGTCAACCAAACCAATTGAGCCTGAAAAAACCATGCTAATGAATTTGTCCTTCACAATTCTTGATTGAATTGTACCTGTAGTACTGTACCACAACTAGGGATTGAAAGCAATTCTGGGTTTTTCAGTGAGAAAATGATAATAGAAGAATGAACCATTCAAGAAATTGACTCAAATTTTGATTTGGGAAGTCAGGGTTCAGTAACATTTCCCTAGTTTGAAGTTATCTGTATCTATGCTAAATTGCACTTTATCTGATACAGTAATTTCTTTATATACAGTTGCCTGAATCAAATTTGAAGCATGGATAATCCAAATTCAAACTCACCATTGGTGCAAGACCTTCATTGGCATGAAAGAGAGTGCCATATGCAATTCCTGAAGCATCCTGGTGCAAGTGGATGAGAATCAAAACCCACACAGATGAAAGAAAGATGTGGCAGATTCTTATCCCATTCTCATTCAAAGAGAGCACTTGGTATTTTAAAATTGCTTCTTGAGCACCAATACTGCTTCTAACATAGCTCAACAGTTGATCTAGTAGCTAAGGCCTAACGTTAGGCAAAGTCATTAGGTTTAGGGCCGGTTTCCTTCAGGCTCCTCTTTTGTCCACATCAACCTAGTCCAGGCCTTAGCCTATTGAACCACTCTCCGTAACAACCGAGGGCGGCCACCTGGGGCAACCCTCCACGCGGATAGTCGACCGACCACGCCCAGCCGACTTTCGCCTAAATGGAGGCCTATGCCTACCCGGGACCTTTCCTGCGTGGCTAGATAAGGTGGCCTAGCTGGATAAACTCAAAGTCATGCACGCCACCTCTTAGCCTACTCGACTCTTGTGTGTTTTCGCCGTCAAACGCCGCCTGCATGACGCTCGTTGCATCACACATGCACGCACGCCATGATGCATGCACGTGCGCGACAACATGGCGTGATGGCGGGGGCAACACTGACATCTAGCACGGAGAACACGTGGCTACTAGTTCCATCTTTCGCATTTAGGTGTCGTTGAAAGCACTTGAGCCCTCGAGCCCCTAGAGCAGCTGCATTCAAACTGCGACCCGCGGGCCGCATGCGGCCCAATTCATGTTTTTATGTGGCCCACTTCGACGTACTAGGAATTGACTTTCTAATATTTAATCCTTCAACCGACACTCAATGAATAATGGCGATAAATACTTTTCTTTTGCAGAATTGGATTATTTCACTCATAAATAGTTCAGTCGTTGCTAAGATATTCAGATTCCCGTTGCATGCTTACATTTAGATATTTATGCGTTTAAGTGTGCACCTGCTGAACTTGCCAAACATTTTGGAGGATGCATATACCGCAAAGACAAATGTCTTACCTTACAAGTAAATAATGAAAGATCCGAGAAAAGCTGTGCTCTTCGAAGATGCAACCAGTAACAAAGCCTCACTAAGAACCAGACTCCAAAAAGTGGCAGTTTCGCTGTGCACAAGAGCAATTGTGGGCAATTTTCGATGGCCACTCATTCTTAAATTAAGATCTCCCGGCTTAAAGTTCTTTGACATGGAAGTCGAGCGGCCATTTAAAG